AAATTTTGAACGAACCAAATATTTATTCAGTTTAACACATTTACATGTTGTGTCAAAATATTTTTTTAAACAAGAGTACACATACTGCTAAGCAAAAGTTACAAGAATTAATTTAGAAAGTAATCGAGTCTTCCACTTCGACTACAAAAAAACCATTGTAAAGGTTTAAACTAGCCACGGTCACCTTTGTTTTTACGACAACAATTGTCACGGCCATTCATAACTAGTTTCCATTGCATTTATTTTATTTTAGTTGACGGTTTGACTAGTCTCTCCAAACAAATATTTTCCAAAGGTGTCAGAAATTCCAAATGTTCAAGATCAACAACATTAATGTTCGTAGTTTCTTTTTCATCTTTTGGAAGATCAAAAGATGAAAACATGTTATTACTCAGTGAAATACTAGCAAATTTCTGTGAGTACTATGATCATTTCATCATCAATACAATCTATTTAATCATCAATGCAAACTGAAGCTAAAACACTTTGGATTATTGCTATTAGCCAAGTAACATTTTGTGGTGATTTGCAGGTTCTTTACAAACCTCTCCAGTCTAACTGAATTAAATGGATGCCCTGCAAATGGAAACACATACCCATAGATGTTCATTGGCTAGAGTCTAGACATTTACCGGTTCTCTAATAGATGTGGCTTCTCTTTTAGGCACGTTAATAGGCTTGCCAATCTCTATGCTATGCTGATCAATTAGGTAGGCAAGTTAGATGCCTTATTAATAATACTAACTTCGAAAATAAAATTAACGTAAGTTACATTGTTTAGTTTTATTATTCAAAGGTTGGTTTTTTTTTCGATTTTACGGACCAATAAAATTAGCCAAGGAGTAACCAAAAAAAAAACGCAAAGCGAGGTGCGCGTTTTGTCGTTATCTTGTTAGGCAGAGCATTAAACCACCACCATTGACATTTTCCCAAGAAAAGCTTCTTCCTTCATCTTTTATTTTCCCGGAAAATCTTCCGATCAGTCTCCTTGTACCGACTCTCGTGCATTTAGATCCAAGCGTCTACGATGTATTGCCGTGGATTGCTCTTGTTCTTGGCTATTTTCTTCGTCTTGCTTCAATCCTCCACTTCCCTGATCAGTTCCCCAAGCGCCATCGTCAATCCTTCCAAAGTCAAGCAGGTTTCATCGAAGCCCAGGTTTGCTCGAGTGATTTTGGGTCAATCCTCAAATGTCATAACTTTCTGGGAAAAATTCCCATATGTGTTTGTCTTGTGTTCAGGGCGTTTGTGTATGAAGGGTTTCTCACGGAATTGGAATGTGATCATGTTGTCTCCCTTGTGAGTTTCTCTTCTTCATTTCAGTTTCAGCTTCAATTTGGAAACTTTCTTTTGTTAAAGTTTTTGATTTGTCGAAAAAGGCAAAAGCGGACCTGAAGAGATCTGCGGTTGCTGATAACGATAGTGGAGAGAGCAAATTCAGCGAAGTTCGGACCAGCTCTGGCACCTTTATCTCCAAAGGAAAGGTTCGAACTTTCTCTTTGTTTTGATTCCGTTTCGTCTTCCTTTGCTGATTAACTTAGAACCCTAATGTTCGATTTGGTATAGATCTCGTTACTTAGGTCTAAACTCCACTGTCTGATGGATTTTTGGTTACCTTTGATCATATTTATGAAATCTCCTTAAGCAATCTGTCACATTTATCCT